TCGTATTATATCTGGGGAGAGCAGGATAAAGTGGCCACTCTAAGCGAAAATCATTTTTTACTCATACAGTAGAACCTCGATTATCCGGAGTAATTGGGGATAAAGGCAGTCCGGATAATCGAAACAAATACTTTGTCTTTTAATCATAATACAACACGTTTTCTTTTCGATGACATATCGATAATATTAAAAGTAAATACTGTATTTAAAGCGTGATCAAATTTTCAAGAAACAAACGTTCGTATTGAATTTCGACTACTACTGACCAACGAGAACAGACTACCTATTGTTTAAAAGGCCCTCTGGTGGCGCAAGAAGACGGATTTTATAAAATAAAAAGCAGTTGAAACTGCATTTTTATGAATAATAATTTGTCAAACTATTTATCATTTTATGACGATTAAAATTTTTTCGTCGCGTTCGCGGCTTTTAAGTAATGCATAAACCTTCGAAACGCGAGGCCCTTCGGACCGCCAGGCATAGACGGTGGCCCACATTGCCCAGCCTTACGCCGCCCATGGTCATAGAAATGATGTAATTTGAATATAAATTATTTATAAATACGTATGTCAAGTTATATTTTTATTACTACGTAAAATATATTTAAGAGTTTACGGCCACTTTGCTGGGAGAGACGTTGTAGAAACAAAAAAGTTATGCATTCCATCACGTACATAAACAGTACCGTAATTCGCCAAGTGCAAATCAGCAAATTCGTAAAATTTTTTTTTATTTTGAACAATCTGGATAATCGAAAATCCGGATAATAGACGTCCGGATAATGGAGGTTCTACTGTATTTTCTAATTCGGAAAAACGATTGAAATAGTTCTATATTTACTACACATAGTGTAAAAGCAAGAAAAAATTTTATTTTCATATTAGCACAACATGGATTTTTTTTCATTTCTACAAAATTTTATACAAAAATGGCCACATAACCCAACTTATTCGGATAAAGTGGCCAGTGACCGCTGTAGCATATGGAATTCCATTATTTCGTACAGCATTGATTTAATGGCCTGCTGCATGGCATGAGAAACCCAGCCCTGCTGGTTTGTTTTTCGTCTGTAATTGAATGGCATTGAGTCATCTACAAGAACAATGTAATTAATTTTCTGTAGGTAACCTTTAGTAATCTTAAATTCTTAGGTTTTAGATTAAATTACATTCAATCTTTATTATACTTTAAATAACTATATGACATTGAGCTATTACAGTTTTATTGATAAAATAATGTAATATAGTTTTTCTGGCAAAGTGGCCAGGAAGGTGGCCACTTTTCCCACTTGGACACCATTACAGAAAATCGTGTCTAGAATAAAACGGACCAAGCTACTGCACTCTATTCCAGAAGGTTTTAAAGCCGAAAGCATACTTTTTGTATGAGTTTAAAGTAAATAATTATAAACTTAATACTATCTTAGATAAAATAAAGAGAATCATCACTTACCTTACATCGGACAAGATGAAAACCACAAAAACTTTACTAACACAAAAAAGAATTATGTCAACTAGACCAGACTTCAGGCTTCTCTCCGAAGGAGTTCAAATGCTTGCCACTAGACAGCAACATTATCTCAGAAAATAACAGTATATGGCAACTTTATCCTGCTCTCCCCTATTACCTAAGTATTGTTTGTGCCATTTTTTTAATTTTAATTTTGGATAATTATTAAGAGTTAATTTTCTATCTAAGTTTTTAAACTCTATTTCTCTATTTTTAACATTTAACAATCTAATATATACAGTAAATATTTTTTAATTCTATGATATAAGCATTCTTTTCCATGCTTTCTAGACAATACAATATGATTTATAATTACAGTAGAGCATCGATTATCCGACCCTCGATTAACCCTCACCTCGGTTAACCAACCGCGTTCTAGTCGGCAAATTCAAATGTCCGCTAGTGATGTGGCGTTACAATATTTGGCTATGTCTTGGCTAATTTAATATTATTTTTACGTGTTTTAGCTGGCAACATGGATCGACCATGAAAGGGAGCCAGTATTTAAACGAGGCTTAATTTTCTAATTTTTAACGATACAATAGGGACGATTATTATTTTTAAAAAAAATTTGATAGGCTTAACATGGAGGAAAATTCAACGCGAAGTAGGTTAAATTAATAGCGATATAATAATATACTAATTACATGGGATATAATAATATACTACACTAATAATGGATTTTTTCATACTTTTCGGTTATCCGACCAACCCCAGTCTCCAATTGAGTCGGATAATCGAGGCTCTACTGTATTTGATTTATTTGTTTCTCATCATATATTATTAAATAATCATCTGCAAATCTAACACAATTTTACTTTTTTTTTTTTTATCATTTACCGAAATCTTTCATAACAATTTCTGCTAATTTTGTCCCCATGCTAATACCATTAGTCTGTCTATAAAAGTTATTATTATACGCAAATTTAATCAATTGTATAAACCAATTTTCTACTTTCAATTTAATCAAATTCATTTCTATTCATTTCCATTCTATAATTGAAAACACATTTTTAACATCTAAACTTATCAATCTATCTGAATTTCCTTTTTTTAATTTACTTATTCTATTAATTACATCATCTGCATTTCTTACAGCAAATTGTGAATATTCTATTTCTATATATTGTTCCAATTTTGAAAACCGAAAATCAACTATTGGTCTGTATTTTTTTTCCTTCTCACCTGATGTTTAATTTAGGTACTCTATTATTTTTAAAATTAAGTATGAACTTTTTATTTTGTTCGCTTGTGCAATTATTATTACATATTTCATCTATTTTTATTTTAATTAATTCTTTTTCAATTTCACAATATAGATCTTTATTTAATCCTATATACTTGTGACCATAGGGTCGGTATCTCTTCGATACCTCGTCAGGATGACACCACTGTATCTTTCGGTCGATACAGAGACCACAAGTTCGCGCGAGCAGATAGGTATGAGGGTTGGACCCGGAATGGAGAACGGAGAGACAAACGGAAGAAACTGCACTCCAGAAGTTTTAAACATAAAAACCCGTTTATTTATATATAATCTAAATTAAGTTTACATCAGCGAATAAAATACGATACATAAACTACATGAGTTATTATTCAATTTTTAGTCCAAATTAACGATCGGGTGCGCGTTTCGTTTACGCGGAGAGAGAGAACGTACAATAGTGCGCGGGCAGGATAAATACCTTAGGTTGTAGGCAAAATCAGCACAAAAGGTCCAACAGTTCTTTTTAGGTGAACAGTTCTTTCCAGGTGAGTAGAAAGATTTCAGTTAAGTTCAGGTCTTCCAGTCTTGTCCAAGAGGAGGAGGTTCGGATTCTCGGCGGGAGGTAGACGATCGGAGCGCACACACAGATACCAATAATAACTTCCACCCCCTTACTCATCATGCCTGGCCCTTTTATATCAAGTCCTCATTTTCGAACTTTTCTCCGATTTCGTCAGCGATGACGATCTTCTTGGTCCAATGAGGGGACGGGTGACACAATCGTGACACAGAAATGTACTCATCTCAACACGGAACCTAACTCGTGGGAATCAAGGTTTTTATTGATTTTATTTTTCCTTTTTCTCTTTTAATTTTCTGTTTTCTCGTTCCGTCTTTATAAAGTTTATTAAAAAAAATTATAGTTTAAAACACTAAATTTCTGGTCCTCACATACTATTAACTTGTTCAATTATTTTAATCATCAAATTCTGGTGATCCACCATAAACAGCTGTTAACAGGATTAAAGTGATTGAAGATAATAATGTAAATTTCTGTATCCACGGAACAAAAAAAGAGTTACGAATGGGATTTCGAACAATTCGAGTTCGAGTTAAGGAAAATTTCCTGTATTGCTTATTAAAGCGAAATGTTTATTGCCCATATTGATCAAATAAATTAATACGGGCAAGTATCGATGAAACTATTCTTTATTCAAGAACGTTTTACATAACATTTTAATTACATACAGTAGAGCCTCGATTATCTGACCCCCAATTAACCAACACCCCGGTTAACCGACCGTCCTAGTCGGCAAATTTCAAATGTCCGCTAGTGATGTGGCGCTACAATATTTGGCTATGTCTTGGCTACTTTAATATTATTTTTACGTGTTTTAGCTGGAAACACTGGATCGACCATGAAAGGGAGCCAGTATTTAAACGAGGCTTAATTTTCTAATTTTTAACGATACAATAGCGACGATTATTATTTTAAAAATTTTTTGTTATGCTTAACATGGATGAAAATTCAACGCGAAGTAGATTAATAGCGATATACTAATATACTAATTACATGGGATATAATAGTATACTACACTAATAATGGATTTTTTCATACTTTTCGGTTATCCGACTTTTCAATTATCTGACCAACCCCAGTCCCCAATTGAGTCGGATAATCGAGGCTCTACTGTATTAAAAATTCAAGTATTGATATGAAGTTATTATAATAAAATTCATTAAAAGGAAAACGTGTTTCCAACAAACTTATCATACATAAACTCTATTTTGTATATTGAAACAGAAATTGCAAATAATAAATTTCAGCAAATTCAAAAATATTAAACTTTTTTTTTAAACTTAACATGTGCTAAAAAATACCGAGATCGACAGAAATGTTACTTTTTTAAGAGAATTATGAAATTCTTAGAAAATTACCTCTGCTTATAAATATTGTAATGTTTCTAATTTGAAACTGTACAAAGATTCCAAAAACATATCATTTTAATTTTAAAATCAGTTTTGCCGATATCATTCGATCATTATACATGTATAGATATAAGTTTTGAAGGAAAATTATTTCTAAGTGAGAATATTGTAATTTTTTTTAAATTATGGTTTCGAATGAATTTCGTAGGACGTAATTAACGGCTTTCGTATGGTGTGGATCCGAAGGTGTTTAAGTTTCCTTTTTGTGTAAACTTTTGTTTACACTCGTCACAACTGTAAGGCTTTTCTCCAATGTGAGTGCGAAGATGTGTAATTAAGGTTTCTCTTTGTGTAAACTTTTTTTACACTGGTCACAAGTGTAAGGCTTTTCTCCTGTATGAGTCCGAAGGTGTTTAATTAATGTTCCTTTTTCTCTAAACATCTGTTTGCACTCTTCACAAGTGTAAGGTTTTTCTCCAGTGTGGATACGAAGGTGTGAAATTAAGCTAGAACTACGTGTAAACTTCTTTTTACACTCGTCACAAGTGTAAGGCTTTTCTCCTGTATGGGTCCGAAGGTGTTTAATTAATGTTCCTTTTTCTCTAAACATCTGTTTGCACTCTTCACAAGTGTAAGGCTTTTCTCCAGTGTGGATACGAAGGTGTGAAATTAAGCTAGAACTACGTGTAAACTTCTTTTTACACTCGTCACAAGTGTAAGGCTTTTCTCCAGTGTGAATGCGAAGATGTGTAATTAAGGTTTCCCTTCGTGTAAACTTCTGTTTACACTGGTCACAAGTGTAAGGCTTTTCTCCTGTATGGGTCCGAAGATGTGCAATTAAGTTTTCTTTTTGTGAAAACTTCTTTTTACACTGGTCACAGCAGTATAACTTTTCTCCTGTGTGCATTCTTTCATGACGTTGCAAATGTTGCTTAGTTTTGAAATTCTTCTTACAGTATTTACATAAAAATCTGTTTTGGTTGCTTTTATCTGCAATTAAAAAAATTATATTAAATAATATTTTATCTGTGTATAATGAATTAATTTTCTTAAATCACAACAATGATTGACCACTCATAACATTTAAGTAAAAATAAATATTTTTATATCTAAAAGTAGATTTCTGCATCAAAACACAATAACTAATTTTAGAGATGACAAAGTTTGAGTATAAATATATCATATTACTATCTAATCACAGACAACATATTAAAGTAAACAATTTCTGTAAAACACTTTTAAAGTGTTTGTATAACTTTATGCTTTTCCATTGATCCGTATTACTATATCCAAGGAATGGATCTCTCTCCTTCTTCTTTGTTTATGTGTTAAAATGAGATGCATCGATGTAAGTCAAATAGTATTTAATATTCAATTTTTTCTTTAATTTCGGAGAGTATCTTCTTCTAAACTTTGTGTTTCATCCAAAGAACAACTGCAAGAAATAACAACACACATGAAATAAATTCTATAAAATTTAGTTTAATTAATATGACTTTTTAACATTAGAATGTTTTATCCATTTTCCTGTTTATTCATATCATTAATTGTATAATTGTAAAATAGGTTGGATTCAGATAAAAATAATACTGTATTTTAAAAAAATATTTCAAATACAAATTCTTAAGAGTGAATCGTGGATTTCATTCTTGCAAGATTGGATTTCGTTCTTCTCCTTTTTTAGTTTCTGTTTTCTGTATTTTCAAGGTGAAAAGTCGCTAAATGAAAAAATAAAACATTCTTTAATACCAGACTAATTCATATTCAAAACATTTTGTACAGTAACTAAAATTTCTATTCTGTACACTAAATATTTTAAAATATAGCCTATAAATTGTTTTTTTGAATTATTTGATATTTACAGTATGCACATTTAATAAAATCACAATAAATATATCCAGAAATCACTCTGGTATTCGAACCTCAACTATGATCATATTCATTAATTAAAAATGCTTTCATTAAATTTTATTTANTTATATCTAAAAGTAGATTTCTGCATCAAAACACAATAACTAATTTTAGAGATGACAAAGTTTGAGTATAAATATATCATATTACTATCTAATCACAGACAACATATTAAAGTAAACAATTTCTGTAAAACACTTTTAAAGTGTTTGTATAACTTTATGCTTTTCCATTGATCCGTATTACTATATCCAAGGAATGGATCTCTCTCCTTCTTCTTTGTTTATGTGTTAAAATGAGATGCATCGATGTAAGTCAAATAGTATTTAATATTCAATTTTTTCTTTAATTTCGGAGAGTATCTTCTTCTAAACTTTGTGTTTCATCCAAAGAACAACTGCAAGAAATAACAACACACATGAAATAAATTCTATAAAATTTAGTTTAATTAATATGACTTTTTAACATTAGAATGTTTTATCCATTTTCCTGTTTATTCATATTATTAATTGTATAATTGTAAAATAGGTTGGATTCAGATAAAAATAATACTGTATTTTAAAAAAATATTTCAAATACAAATTCTTAAGAGTGAATCGTGGATTTCATTCTTGCAAGATTGGATTTCGTTCTTCTCCTTTTTTAGTTTCTGTTTTCTGTATTTTCAAGGTGAAAAGTCGCTAAATGAAAAAATAAAACATTCTTTAATACCAGACTAATTCATATTCAAAACATTTTGTACAGTAACTAAAATTTCTATTCTGTACACTAAATATTTTAAAATATAGCCTATAAATTGTTTTTTTGAATTATTTGATATTTACAGTATGCACATTTAATAAAATCACAATAAATATATCCAGAAATCACTCTGGTATTCGAACCTCAACTATGATCATATTCATTAATTAAAAATGCTTTCATTAAATTTTATTTCTTTATTAAAAAAATCTAGCTACCAGTTCTTTAACTTACCCTTAGAGGATTTGATCCCGGGATCTCGAAAATCGGGATCCCGGGATCCCGACAACTTTTCAGTCCCAAAATTTTCGGGATTAAGTTTTCCTAATCCCGAGATTTTCGGGATTGACATCATTTTTAAAAAAAAGTTGCAAAATAGACTGTACGAAGCGAAACGTTCAGTGCCAGTGCTTTTAACAGAATTGCTTGCCTATCATTTTAATATAAAATACAAGAAATTTTATTCCAAGCAAGCAGCAGAAATTAACCTAGTGGGCTTGCGATGCTTGCTTGGAATAAAACTTCTTGTATTTTCAACTAAAATGATAGGCAAGCAGTTCTCACTGGGTTACTTGGTAATATACTTCATTTTTGTATTTTTGAATTTTCGCG